TATATATATGTCTAAAATTTGATAATACTTTTAAGATTAAAACTTAATGGAATAATAAAATTCTTTACTCTTTGTTCTGAATAAACCACTATAGTGTATAAAGGATATAATAAATACAACATCTATACTGTGAGTGAAAATATCCTTTTTACAGTACTATAAGTTGAAATCTTTATTATGTAAACTGAATAAACTTAATTCTGTAGTAAAAAATCGGATAAGCTGTAAAATACTGAAAAATCACAAGTACAGACTAAGGTATAGCCTAGGTAAATACATTTACACCAATGCAGAGTGGGTAAAATGACATGGGTACTTTCTGGTGGTTTTAAAAATTAACTTTAGATGTGTTGAAATTTTGTAATATTGATATAACATGCTAATGAAATGATTTAACTGAACTGAATTTAACATTAAAAAAAATTAACTATAAAATCCACTTCGTTCTAAATATTTTGTGGTTAAACCAACTGTATGAAATAATTAATTTTTTGATCTAATATGAATTAAATAAATACTTATTTTTGAAATATAAGTTTTTATCCACTCACTAAGTGTAGATTGATCGTGACTTCAATTTTCTCGTCGCTTCCTCACATTCAAGTACCAAGTATGACACCTCACACTCGTCCTAAGAAATCATATCTCATCACTAAGGTGCCTTAAACATTTTTCCTACCATTATAATTGATGATTTACTAATGAGAACTTGGAGTCTTTTATTTTCAATGTAAGGTCATAATCCTAATTAGGGTCACTGATGACATATTCACCTTTGTATAAGTTATTTCAATACCCAATCCTCAATATTTAATACTTAATTTGGTTTTCATACAATGAATCCAAGAAAATCAAAATATTACTAAAAACAACACTATATTTCCAGATTATTGAAATGTGGCACCATATTCTGTATACTGAAAAGTGAAAAGTGTCATCGAAACCATTAACTAAAATAGCATTTTCTAGGTAGAATTTTTAGAAATAGCACCAGTGTATTACCTTGCTCGAAAATAGCCTAAAATTTATTAAATAATAGAGAAATTAAATCTCAAATCCTTAATCAAGTGATTGATATCATATAACTACAACAATTTTAAAGATTGAAGCTATAATTTACAAACCCCTTTCATATTCTTTGATTTCAACATGAATCTCCCAATAAACATTTCCTTTTGCAATAATATTTTTAAATACCTCAAATATATCTCAACAACCTTTAACTTTTGCTAACATTCGAACAAATGAAATTGTTCGCAATCTCTAAAATCAATTATCATCTCTTAATAAGTAAATATTTTGCTTAACTTCACAAAGAAATTGGAGAACAAATAACCCAGACATGAAAATCTACTTTGCTCCTCCTTTCCTCTTTCTTTTCCTCTTCTTTACTTTCTCTTTTTCTTCCTTCTTTCCCAGTTTTTCGTTCTTTCTCTTTGCCCGTTTCTACCCTCAGTTTCCTCTATGTGTATATATCAATGAAAAATGAAAACAATGGTTAAACATGTGCCACTGTATACCACTATGCCAAGAATTGTAAATGAAGTCCCGCATCTCTCATGTAATAAAACATTAAATCCTTAACTTCCAATATTAGAAAAATAAATTCCAACTTTAAATTTTATCCTTCTTAAACCCTCAAAATATTTTTCATAATGAAAAAAGCCCCAATAAAATGATTTACTTCAATTTTAGTCCATATTTGATTTTGACTTTGACAAGGCAACTTTTAATTTTTGACTGACTAGGATGAGTTGTAACAACGATATATTATTCTTAAGGAATATTACCTACTCATTATAATGTCAATATTTCAAAATAATATTGATATTGCTCTAAAAGAAACATGCTTTTTTTTATCAAATTAATATTCTTAAATATAGCACAAATATTTGATGATATTTATGCTTTTGAAGAAATATAATTAAAATTATATTTACCTTAAACGAATATAGTGCTGATGTTTTCGAATAAATACGACCTACATTATATCAATATTTCAAAAGAACATTATTTAAATACTTCAGAATATTCAATGCTGCATTATGTGGGAAAATAGAATTTTATTATATTCTATTAAATTATATAGAAATACATAAAGTTTCTAAAATATGTGTCATGATTGATATTATACACATATTGGTACAATTGAAAATTTCAAACACTGTACGGACTCGAAATTTAATTATTAAATATATTATTTTTTGGCATGACCAGTTGGACCATCACATGATCAATAATAATGCAAAATGTAGAATTGAAATGGACATTTAACAAATAATCAGAAGATTCTTAAATCCAAAGAACTCTTATATGATTTTTATTCTCTTTATATTTTTTAAAATTAATTAGGTAATATATAGAGTCAGTCACCATCTATGTTGACTATCTAGATATTATTTTTATCTAATAGACGTGATATGTCTACTAGATGATTGTATGGTGTTTGAAACCTGAAGTTGAGAAATTATTACTCAAGTTTTAAATTATAAGTATAATTTTTAGATTATACAATTAATATAGTGTGTCTTTTTAATACTAGAGAGCCTATATCTTAACTTTTTAATAAGTGTTTGTTGGGATGACATAAATAGTTTAACACTACTACTTGCTAAACACGTTCAATTGATTTATAAATCATTAATGTTGAGAACAAAGTGCTTTATCCAACTAGAATTGACGTCCTGAAAGGAAAATTCATTAATATTATATTTGATATATTTATGACACGCCTCAAGGGTGAATACATTCTTTCAATTCTAAGAAAAAAATCTTAGAAAATGGAGCAAATAAGGAATATAATCCCATTTAGGAGGAATATACTCTTGGAGAACATATAGTCATAACTAACCTAACCTCCTGAATGCATCATTGTAACAAATGTCAAAAAATAATTAAAAAGCAATAAATGGGGAAGTACTTCTTCCGATACAAAGAAAATAAACGCAAATGAAAATTAGTCTGTAAATCTCTAAGGCTAGGCAATCCATGTCTGCCAATATGAACAAATGACCTACCCTGTCGAGTTAGGTCGATTGGTCCATACTCCTTATAGTAGCTCTAATCCCAATGCTCTAAAGCAAGAGAGTCTGCCACTTGATTTCCCTCTATATAGATGTGGAAAATCATATTTTTTTGTCGAATGAAATAATGCCTCTGATTTGTCTAAGAATGCTTTGAATTGTCTATGGTCTTCCACCTATGGTGATGCAGTAAATAGCCATAGTCGAATTTGTCTCAACCCAAATAGCTAAAATCATTGTTTTAAAAATTGGACCGAACATTGACCCAGAAGAGAGATAGATCGAGATTAAACCGAACATTTTATAGGAATCTTACTTATTTTTCCACATTCGGTTACCAAGCTTCAAGCGAGTCAATTGTCGGACCGGTTCATAGGTTTCCCGATTGAACTGAAGAGTCCGATCCAATTTTGAAAACAATTGCTAAAATATCAAGTCGTCTGGCCAGTAGAATTCCATCTAGTATAGCTCTGAGCTTGACCTCCCAAATCAAATATGGGTCATATGATGTGAAAATTCCCTAATTTCTTAATAATATCCGCCCGACTCACAAATTCATCCTTAACGCATATATCCATGTTCATAGGATCACACTGGTAGAGTGCACTATACAACCAAAACATGTGATGATGGGAGAGGGAAAGTCATAGAAATATCGAAGAGAGATAAAAGACTCAAATTCCATTGCTAATGCAAAGCTATAAACAATCCTCTCGTGTGAAGAAAAGAGATCATGCGATGGACTCTCAGAGGATACATTTGGGTACCATACGGATCTCCCTATGGTTTACGTCATTCATATCAATCCATATAAACCAGAATATCAATAGAGGAATAATAACACAAATTTGTCTACCTCGTAAATACTATTGAAAATAATGTTATCTCTGAAATCTCTATCTCACGCTCTTTTGTAACGACATAAGTACTTGGAAATTACGCCCAAAATGATGCCATACCTAGTCGAAAATTATGCTGCCTTTGAAAATGTGACTGATAGTCTCAGTCTTGGAAGGAAGATGACCTCGAGAGTCCAAATGACATCTAGTGCGCCTCTATATAATAATATCTATTGGAATTAGATCCTGCCATAGACTCAAGTAGAAGAATGAGACTATGGTAGGAAGAGTGGAGTTCCATAGTAAGTGAAATGGATCCTAAGGCTATCTACCAATTGGACTATATACTATGTTGATTTGGTAACTTTTGCTACCATCTAATGTGTCCCAATAAACAATGTGCCCTAGGGCCTCTACACATAAAGGAATAGCTCCTATCTGGTCTCCCATGAAGGGTGAAAGAGTCTGTGATGATTGTCCAAAATCCGACCCAGTGCTATAAAAGAAGTCCAGCACCCTCGTGGATGTGTGTTGCCTGTGTGGAAATAAGGACACCAATGTAGTATCCTATCAAACAATTACACCAAAAGAATATCTGACCGGCTCTGAGATAAAAAGCACTGTGTGGTTCCACATATGGCTCAATTAACTTTAGACTCTTTCAGATAAGAGAAGATGAACGGAAAACTACAGCAAGTGATTGATTTGTCCTAAAACAATATTTTCCCTGTAACAATTTAAGCCCAAAAATATCTCTGACACTGAAACAACCACTTTCAGGCCTTCTCGGGAGCTGGGAGTTTTATTTTTTTCGCCGTTTTCTGATTGATTTCAAATGGCATAATTATGAAGGGTAAAGGAAAAATGATGCTTGCTAATTTTTTTTGGGCATCATTTTTGGATAATTGAAAAAATCATTTAAAATGAGCATATTATTATTTTGACCATTTCTCTCAATCTACCAATCCGTGGATTTTGATCATTTCTCATATTCTCTTCTAATTTGAACCTTTATAAAATAATTTCTTTCAACTAGCATATATTGTTAAAACTAATTTGTAAATAAAAATATATTAACTAAGAAAAAAATTTTATAACCAAAAAATTATTTTATAATTCAAAAATTTACTTATAATAAAAATATAATATAAAATAAAAATTACTTTTTTGTAAAAATTTCTCCTTGGCAGCCACCGCAATTGATGCGTTGATAAAATCAAAAATATTTTCCATTGCTTGATCGTTAACTGAATATGTGTTTTGATACAACTTTCTCAGATCAATACCTATACCCATCTTGAAAATCACAAATTTTTTAACTATGAGACTGGTTTTGTGAATGTTAATGTTCGGTGTATTCTACGTATTTATAACGTTGTACAAGAAATCAAGAATGATCAAGTGTTTAACTTCTGGGCGGGAAACTTTGGGCGGGAATTTAGTAATTAATGAACCCAGTTGTTTCCTTAACTAAACTAGCCGTTAATTAATGAATCTTAAATAATTTTTTATTCTTTTATTCGGTACTTAGGTTAATTATAAAATCTGCTAACAATTTTATTATTTGGTCGAATTCTACACAAATTTCTCCCCAAATTCAAATTATATAAAATGATGATGTGCCTTTAGTAATATATATTTGCATAAAAAATTGATCTATTTAAAGTCCAGAGTCGATTTTTTTTTTTTTTTTAAAAATTTTTTTCAAAAAAAAAAAAAAAAAAAAAAAAAAAAAAAAAAACCTGTTAATAAGACAAAAATTGGCTTACAATATTAAAAGAAGAAAAAAAGTTACTTATATGCAAAAAATTTACTTATATGTAAAAATTATTAAAATTTCAATATTAACTTATAATTATAAAATTTACTTATAAGAAAAAAGACTAACTTAAATTTTTTAGTAAATATGTAAATTTTTTTAGTTAAATATAAAATTTTATGTAAAAAATTTACTTACAAATAAAATATCACTTATGAATTAAAAAAAAAAATCATAAAAAATCATAAACTGAAAATTTCACTAAAGATCATATATTTAAATTTATTCGTTTAAAAAATGTACAAAAACAATGTATACTAAACTCTCAAGTGTGGTTGGAATCTTTTAAAATCCCTAGTAAAATAACTCAAAAATCAATCCGCTCATAGACAGGTTTCATCTTTTAAGCACCGATACTTAGTTTATGCTATTTGCAAGGTGACGTGGTACACTACAAAAGGTGGTGTAATCAATTTTTTAATCAACCATTTTCTCCCACTACTTATTGTAGTGAACTATGTCATCCAAGTGCTCAGCATAAGCTAAGTACCGATACTTAGAAGATCAATCATGTGTTCATTAAATGCTCAAAGTTGATATTTTTTAGAAGGCTCATAACGATACCCAAAACATCCAAGTAGGCCCTTTGTTACTTTAACACCATGCACTACCCTCTATACTAATATGGTCACTTTTAAGACAAGCTGAATTTTTTGTTTCTTCCTATATACTTAAGTTTTTAGTTGATTTGATCCAAAATTAGCTCATTGAGGATATATGTGTTAAGGATAAGGGACCGCTCTTGCTATCTAATCTACTAAGGGCTCGTTTGACGTAAATTTTGCTTTTTGTACAAGAGTTTTTGGAGAAAGTTGAGTTTTACTTCGATACTAATTTTTAAAAGCACTTCGTATCTCGAAAGTGTTTTGAGAGGAAGTCATACTGCATCAGTTTCCTTTAAAAACCTTTCTAACTAAAAGAAAAATTGTCATAAAATTAGCCAAACAAGTTCAAAAGCAGTTTTTAGATCTCAAAAACATATTTTGACTTTTATAGAGTCATATAAAATGAGCCCTAAGCTCATCCAAGAAAAGCTCATTTTTACCTCATATCTCTGCATTTTCAATAAAAGCTTATTGTTCCATGGTTTCTATCGTGAACACGTAATATTTTGTATCTATTATTTAACATTTAATTTATTATTTCTAACTCCTAATGGATAAAAAAAATAGAAGTAATTTGATTAATTACCTGAATTCTCTATTTTTACTAACTTAACTAAAAGTGCAAGATCTAATTAAATTAGAGTTTTACTTCTAAATGAGAATGTTAGGACTCACGATTTCACCTTGTTATTACCTTTTAATTTGCATATAAAGATTCATTTCTAATATGGTATTCGATCAATTTTTTCTTAATTGATCAATTTATGTATCTCGAGTTCAAATTAATCATATCTAAATAAGCCAATTTACCTTGCCTCTATATGAATTCAAATAAACCTCTACCATTTTATCCAAATTTCAAAGTTTTACTACGTGATCGAAATCTATAACTTACATCCTGGTTTGTTAAAAATTCACAAATCAGTTCAATAATGGCCAATTATCTCATTGCATTAAGAACTATAAGTAAAATCAACACATAAAGAATTAAAATAAATAAATCTTGAAAATTGAATTTAAAGGATCAACTAGATCATTACATCGTTTGCCCTTATTATTAATTTAGCTACTTATAATGATTAAAGGAAAGTGATTTTGAGAGTAAGTAGATGAACTAGATATTTTAATTTATGTATTTTTATTATTATTTTAGGAATAAAAACTTGGTATTGGATGAGAACGAATGAAAATGAAGAATAATTAAGAAAAAAAATTAAAGTTGGACATATGTTGCAAATTGTGGACTGAAGAGTCGCGTTCGAAAGTTGAAGGACCTCAATTACAATATATAAGTACTCAATTCGAACAAGAAAGAAGATATATGGACCAAATTGCAAAATTAAAATATAAATTCCAACCGTTCGAAAAATTCTAATTGGACTAAAATTATGATCCCTGTCCACTTGAGAAGAGCCTAAACCATGTGAATCCTTTCCATTGCTTTAATAAAAATATATTGATATGATATGCAATTAGGAATAAGAGATACAATAATATTGAATAAAAATCATTATTTATCTTTTCAGTTCACTATAATGCTGAGGCTCTGTGCGATCGCTCAACTCATGCATCCTCAAGGTCATCACTGTCCATGTATTAAAAGAAAGTAGGTTAAATGACTACTAAGTGTAATTATTTCTAGTAGCTAAAGTTTATAAGCAAGATGACTAAACACTTAGAAAGAAATTATATACTATTAAAGTATTAGCATAATATTATATTTGTGTATTACATAGACCTTATCTAATATGAAATAATTGGAACAAAATTACAACATAGTCATACATTAAATATTTATAGTACAACCGTTTGAGGCGTTTTTCTATTCATAGTATTGAACATAATCAGACACTATAATAAACAAAAGTGCCATTTAATATTTTACTCTCATACTTACTAGATATAATACAACAACACCTTAAACACTAATTTGACTTGTAATTCCCAAAGCCCGAATACTTTTTTTGGGTCTCGAACATTTTATTAACTTTCATACCAACTTGATTATCAACCGAGTCATGTGTCCAATGAGTAGGAGAACCATGAGGCCAAGCCATATCAAAACTGATAACCAATCAAAAGTATAATTTATTGGTTTACTCTCTCTGGTGTTATTACGAATATTAAGAAGAGATAAGGCAATGCAACTATTATAATTGCAATCCAAGTGATCATCATCAAAATCCACATAAATATGCTCCTCCTTAAAGGTAAACCACTCATCAACAATAATATGATACTGAGTGATGCAATGAGTCCTGTTGTATTAGTAATCAAGAATGTCCATATCCTGCCGGATGATTATAAGCAAAAATGGATTTTTCGGCCTTGTGAGTATCAAATACTATTACGGGATTACTGTGTGAGTCAACCATATAATTATCCTTCCATACTCCGCTTGGAGGATTGACTCCAACTTAAAATGTCATAGTTGCAATCAAAGAAGCCACTACCATTAATGCACATTATTTTTTTTCCAACTGATTGTCTTTCTATTTAAACGTTTTTTTTCTATCGTTCGTTTTCATGTTTGAGCATAGATCTAGGTGTTCAAAGGACAAATTCAACCCTGGACTAGTTATATTATGATTAATTTGGACTAATGAATTGTTTTTCATTGATCCAAATGCTCTAGCACGTTTTAGAGATTCTTTAATTTCTTCATCCTTCACATATTTTCGACTACAGATAAGAACATCCATTGTTGTCATCACACAAAGATTCTGAGCATTTGTAAGTGTTATGCCCCAGGTCCAATCAACCTTGGACATAAATACTTTTGACATATAATTAGTGCAATTAATGACAGATCTATTATTTAATAAACAATTAAATTAAATAATAGAGTCCGTAGATTCAAATCTTCGTAATTTGTTAATCACAAGGCGTTGTGATTATGAGATACAAATTACATATGATTGAATCTTAAATCGTCCGTGGTCGTTACTAATAACGAGATACGGATATCGTTATTACGGATAGACCATCACGTGTGGCATTTCTTACTTGTGAAGTAAGTAGCTAATCTCACAAGCTAAAATGTGGTGACACTTAAATGAACACGTGGATGTTTTGTTGTAGAACAAAATATTGGAAACCCGTCGAGAGATTCCACATGGATAACTATCTGAGTGTCAGTGGTTAATCTCCAACGTTCGGTAGTGGGATTGGTCCTTTTAACTTGAGGTCGTCATAGTACCTTATATGATGACGGTCATGTTTTGACGGTGTTGGATGTTGGTCTGCCAAGGGTCGCTAATACGACATCGTTCAGGTATATCAAGAATCATATGAAGGTTGTGAATGACCAACAGAGGATTCGTCACTTTTAGATAGTAAGAGATTATGATCTGCATTTCATTCAATTAAGTCGATAACGAAATCCTTGACCAAGGTGTACTCATAAGTCGAAAATGAGTTTTCGACTTATATTGACTTAATAGTAGAGTGAAAGATATGATCGATAATCGAGATTGACACACTTTCATATCACATAATTGATCAGATCATATTAACGAAGGGATTATAGTTTCATCGTAAATGAACGAGTTTGGTTTTGTCATACCACGTGATATTTCCCATTACATGTATTGTCCTGACACATTACTAGATGTCAATTTGGGACGGCGAGTGTGATTGGTGATAAATTAAAAAGGTGTTTTAATTTATCAATTTGGTTTAGACTAAAGTAATATTTCACGTCATTAAGTATCGTGATCAGGAACTTGATGGGTCGCACAAAAGAGAATTGGAAGATTGCAATTTGTCAATTAATTAATTTAACAATCGTTGGATAAATTAATTAATTGGTTGGTTATTTATAGGCCCGAATTAATTAATTGAATTAATTAATTCACGGACCGAATTTAATT